AGGTTAAGAATGTAGAAGATGAGTTTAACAACAGGTTAAATACAGATAAAAAGAGGTTTAGACACTTTTGGAGAAACAACGTGGGGAGAATTTCTCATCAGCAGGCCTGCACTTAAGGAAATCCTATAGTAAGTTCTTCAAGAATAAGGACAATGATCCCAAATGGAAGCACAGAGATACAGGAAGGACAGAAAGGGTAAATTTGTAGTTATTTCTAAATAAGTATTTTGTGGAGTTTACATTATATGTAAAATTACTGTAAAATACTTGATAACAGTAGCACAAAGACAGGACAAGGATAAATGGTGTTAGTGTTCTGTGGTTCTTTCATTGTATGGGTTGTATATAAACTACTAATTTATATTCCTACATAGTACATTGTAATCTCTAGGGTAACCAGTAAAAGAATAATAACAATGTAAAAATAACAAACTAATAGAGGAGAAAACAAAATAATAAATTATTTAATCCAAAAGAAGGCAAGAAAGGAAAGAAAAATGAACATAGGACAAGTCGGACAAATAGGAAGTAGTACAATAGTAGCCCTAAATTAATTATATGTAGAAGAATTATATCGTGATTAAAAATGACATGTATAAGTCATAGTTTAAAGTTTAGGATACAGGAAAGTTGAAAGTAAAGAGATGAAAAAAGAATAGCATGCAAACGTACCTAAACCAGCCCAGGTGGTATGGCTCCAGCCATGTTGTACCTACTATAAACTCAAAAAACTACACCAGCTGCTAGCCACTCAGTTTGGACTCATGGTGACCCTAGGTATGTCAGAGTAGAATTGCACTCCATAGGGTTTTCAGTGACTGTGATCTTTCAAAAGTAGATTGTCAGTCCTTTCTTCTGAGATGCCTCTGGGATTTGAACTGCTAACCTTTTGGTTAGTAGCCCAGCGCTTAACCATTTGCGCCACCCAGGGTCCATACCTGGTATACCTGCCTCATAATGTGATTGTTAGATTTATATCAGATAATCTTACATAGAGTTAGCATTGTCCTCTATACATATTCAATACCCAATAAATGGAATTATTGTTTGAGGTACCTTATTTCCTTCCTTATTTCTTCTTTTTTTAATTGTGGTAAGATACATGGATCCTTGGTGGCGCAGTGGTTAAGAGCTTGGCTGCTAACCAAAAGGTCAGCAGTTGGAATCCATCAAGCTGCTCCTTGGAAACCTTATGGGGCAGCTCTACTCTGTCCTGTAGGGTCACTGTGAGTCAGAATCAAGTCAATGGCAACGGGTTTGGTTTGCTGTTTTAACCGTTTTTAAGTGTATGTTTCAGTGACATTAATTACATTCATCATCATCACTATCCATTTTCAAATGTTTTCCATCCCCCTAAACAGAAACTCAGTACCCTTTAAGTAATAACTCCCCATTTCCCCCTTCTGCAGCCCCTGGTAATCACTAATAAACTAATATTTTTATGCATTTGGAGGCACCTTATTTCTTAAGGTAGTATTTTTTCCTCATTTTCAGCTGATGTATCAAGGACTATGTCTCATACACCATTACACTTATTTGTCTCATAGGTTTGCTTGGTTTTCAGTAGGTTCCATATGTACACATTTTATCCTTTTCTCAATCTTCTATTTTCATTTAACTCACTGACTGCTGTGGCTGTTGTTATTTTTTATCTTTATTTTGAATCTGCTTTTTGGTGCTTTTGGTGGTGCAGTGGTTAAAGTGCACCACTGCTCACTGAAAGTCAGTGGTTCAAACCCACCAGCAGCTCCATGGGAGAAAGACGTGGCAGTCTGCTTCTGTAAAGATTACAGCCTTGGAAACCCTATAGGGCAGTTCTGCTCTCTCGTAGGGTCGCTATGAGTCAAAATCAACTCGGTGGCAATGGGACCTAATAATAATATGTGAATTATTTTATATTAAAGTAATCTGCTTTGGCTATTGCTTGTAGAGGTTCCAAACTCAGTGGCATTCCTTATTTTTTTCTTGAATTTTTATTAAAATATATTCTTCAGAATTTTTCTTTTTAAAAATTTATATCCACGTAGTAAATATAGATTTTCTCAATCATATATTAATTGTCTTTTAGCATGAAGGTATTTTGAGGAATAGATAGGAACTTAATTCTTTTGTAAAATAATACTATAGAACCAGTTAGAGAAGCTGTCTGTACCTTTATTTTGTATGTCAGTCATTCTGTTGTATATTGGCTAAACATCAAATTTGGAGACATGTCAAAGACTACCTTTCATGTTTCATTTAGCTGTCTGGGAAGTCAGATTGCTTTCTGACTGAGGGAAAGCATTAAAAATGATTAAAATGAATGTTTTGACTCAGATCTGATTTACCCAAATATAGTTAGTTCCTTAGATGACTAAAATCAAGGTAATTTTGGACTGAAGTTGGCCCCCTGTCCGTATGTTAGTGGGTACATTTGTACCTGGGGAGTATTACAAACCATTCAGAATTAACTAGACTTAATAAGGATGTAAGATGGGCTTTCGTGTGGGGGAACTTTTTCTTCTAGGACATGTGAATATAAAATTTGTTAGTTAATTTGGTGGGTAGCAATAAAACCAAATTTGTGTATCTTTTCTATGTTGAATATGGGGCTTAACAGTGGGAGATTTAAAACAATCCTTGTCTTATCAGTTTTAACTAATAATAAAAAAAAAAACATAAGTTTTTGTAAATTTAGTAATAATTTATTCATAGCAAGTCGTATGACCTGGAATATCAAGGAAGTTAACTGCTAGAGATGGAAGGTAGAACTCGTAAATTTTGACTTCACTCCTGTGTTCATTACTACTCTTTTCATTTCTCTTTGAACAGGTTGTTCCTTTCAGCAGCTTTTGATGAAATAGAGGAACACACTTTCTCACTTGAGCAGTTGTCATAAGTAAAAAAGAGTAGGAAAGTTAAATCCCAGATGAATGATAGCAATGTTGTATTGTTTAATAGGCAGTGAAATCAGCTGTGCAGACCATCACTGTTGGAGGCGTGAGCACATCACAATTTAAGACAATTATTCCTCTGGCAACTGCTCCCAATGTTCAGCAGATTCAAGTGCCTGGAAGCAAGTTTCATTATGTCCGACTTGTTACTGCCACAACAGCCAGTAGCTCAACCCAGCCAGTTAGTCAGAACCCCAGTACAAACACTCAGCCTCTTCAGCAAGGTTAGTAACTTTTTTTTTTTTCCCAACAATAATTAATGTTTTTAACATTATTAAAGAATTTTGGTCCTTTTCTTGCTGAAATCCTGATTAAGTGTGGCATTTCAGCTGAGAGTTTGAAGCAGCAGCTGTTGCAGAAGGCAGTGAAATAGAGTCATAGTTGTATATAAGTATGGTATTTTCCTTCTGTTAGAAGTTGGTACACAGTGTGCTGTAATACCCGATAATCATAATTCCCCATCAGTATGTGGTTAGCCATTTTATTGTTGGTTTAAAACCTACCATTTATGGTAATGATCTTAGATGGGATACTTCTAGATTAAGCAAGTTTATTTGTCTTGGTCAGTTGAAATAAGTAGGAAGGTGTAAATGATAAACAAGAACTTCATATTACATTCATCCTTTACTTATTTTTAATCTATAACCGCTAGTAGTAGGTGATTAAAATGCCCTATTCTTTTGGCTCAGTTGTATTTTTTCCTAAAGGATATTCCTGTTGGTAGTCCCACCCTTTTCTGTGTTTGCGTTTAACGCTTCCTCCCACCTAGTACACAGACACACACACATAAACTTTTGCCATAGTTGTCTACTTTTTAAAAAATTAAATGATGTGAAAAGATCAGGATACTATCAGAATGTGGTAGTTTACAGGTTAGACCATAATTTTTCCCTTGGAAGACTGCTGTCTGTTCCAGCGATGTCTAAAAGCAGTCAATGGCATGTGAATGGTTTATTGTTTACTAGAAGTAAATAAAAGAATTAAAGGCCAGTTGGTTACTTTTCTGTTTTTATTAAGAGTTCAGGGGTGTGGAGCTATCTGTTGCTGATAGCTAATTCACCTGAGGGAAACTGTGGAAGGGTAAAAAAGAAAACCCTTTTTTTTAAAAAAAATTACTGAAGGGCGAAAATGGAGGAGGCGTGAGAGAAACAGTATGTTAGCGTATATTCTGTTAAAATTAGACATAGCAAGTAATTATGGTTTCTAATTCCTCTTTAAATGGATTTTGGAAGAGACTCTTATCATAGTGTTCTTACTGAGAGGAAGAATGAAGCTTGCTTACTGCTGACTAAGGGAGTCAAGTTTTATATTCTCCCCAGTACTTAAACTTAGCGGGGTACTAAGAGAGGTGCTAGAAAGTCCATTGTATTAGGTGTCATAGTGATTAGAAAGCAGTCATTACATACAGCTGGTTGTATTTTATATGTGTGTGTGTTTCTGTTTACATAGTATGCTGAGTCTCTGCTTCCAGTGTGATGTTAACACTGACTGGTTAGCAAGAATTAAGTCTTTGGTATAAGTAGAAAAGATAAGAAGGTCCAGGAAGAGTAGAGGAATGGACTGGGCATTTCATAATTGTATTGTGTGTATTTCCTGGTGCCTTCTTTTACAACTTTATATCTATCTGCCTCTTACTACCTCTCTGCTTCTCTTTGCCTCCTGGCAACCCCTTGCTCCACCTTTTGCTCTCTTGCCTCTTCCTTTTTGCTTTTCACCTTCACCTTTCCTACTCTGTTTTCCCCTCCATTTCTCTACCTTCCTCATCACCCTCTCTCTGTATCTTCTTCTCACTTACACACATACACATACTACATATGTGATTTCCTTTATTATCAGCCTGTATTTTTCTTTTGGTCTTTCCCTCCTGTCTCCTAAAGGATCTAGGTATATATTATTTCACAAAAATAATGAGTTAATTTTAAAATTTTTATCAGAGAGACACTAAATATTTGCTCTAATTCATCAAAAGTATTACTATGTCTTTCTAAGAGCCTGACTTTCTATGAGGGATTTATTTAAATGCCAAAGGGAATTGGGCTTATCTTGTACACCCCTCCCCCACCAAAAAAAAGTGTTCAAAGGGTCTACCATATTAATTGCTGGCTTGATAGCTGGCAACAAGTAGAAGGGCGCGGAAGAGTGCTTGGTTAGCCTCTTCAGAATGTAATCTACCATCTTGGTGAGGGAGAGAATAAATTTAAGAAATTAAAAAGCCTCAAACTCTTGTAGATATGAATTCTGAAGCTTGGGAGGAGGCTGTTTCCAAAGCATTGTGCAGAATTCCTGTTGTAAGAATTGTTTAAGACAAAAGGTTAAAAGATTATGCTACTAGCTTCTATGGAAACTGCAGTAGTTAGTAATGTGAAAATGTTCTCTAAGGTAAGGAGGAGGAGAAATATAGATGTGGACATAGTTATATAACATCAATATGACACCTCCCCCTTCCCTAGGTATTTTATAGTGTGTGTTTTGTGACCACTTCATTTTATATTTTTTCCATTCCTCAGGCTTCAGTTAAAACTCAGCGTACAGATACTGAACCTATGTAAACCTAGGGAGTTCCCAAGTTTTCTAGCTTTGTGTGTGTGTGTAGGAAAGGGGAGGGCTAGTACTCTTTCCTTATTATCCAGGAATCATGAGTCCACTATTTGTGTGACTGAGGGCAGGTCATATCCCTTCACCTTTATTTCTCAGAACCACCAGGAGGTTCTTAGATTCCTCTGGCTATTGCTCTCACTTCAAAATTGTTGCTGTTGGAAGGGTGTCCACCATCTCCCCTCCAAGGAGAAGAGAGTCCACTCTCCTTTGCCCCAAGCATGAATTCAGGCTCACCTTTTAATTCCTTAAAGTATTGCTGAGACCAGCCAAGAGTGTTAATATTTGACTAAAGCTTGAGGGTAACAGGAAAATCAAAACAGAACTGGAAACAATTTCAAATCATGTGCCAGATGTCACTTTTCCTACAACCCATGGCCATATACTCTTTTTTTTTTAACAACTTTGTTGAGATACAATTCACGTACCATGAAACTCACCCTTTTAAAGTGTACAATTCAGTGGTTTTTAGTATATTCACAGAGTTGTGCAACCACCACTACTGTCTAATCCTGCACTCTTTTTGGAGGTCTCCCACTTTCCCCCTCCCACCTGTCTCTTGTTACCTTGCTGCAGGGGCCTGCTCCCTTTTCAGAGTACCCTTTCTCTAATATTCTCTTCTTCCAGGACTTTCAACTTTTTGTCTCCAGCCATCAGCACCTCCATTCCCACCAAGTCAAAAATAATGTTAATTTTGTAGCAGTCTTTCTATCCAAGAAAGTCTAGTATTTTTCTTTTATTATTTAGAGCAGTCTAAATAGCATTATGTCAACCTCTGTCTTTCAGACCAGGCTTACCTTTGCATAAATAAAATCTGAAGAGATGTGCTTGCTATCTTCTTAAATCCCTCCCTTAGGCTGTGGAAATGGTTGCAGTCAGTGTAAAATATGGCAGTTCTTTTGGTCCAAACCTAGATCTAGTGCCAGTCTCTCTCCTGAATTCCATCATAGCATTTTTCCACATCAGCTTTCATCTTCCCTTCATATCAGCTCATCCCTGAATTTTTAGTTCTGGTAACTGTCGTTTATCCATTTGCTTGAAAGCTTTGTGATGACTTACACTTTTTCTGCCCTTATCCTACAATTCCTACCATTCATTTGGTTGATAAGTCAAGTTCCTTTCGCCTCCACTGTGTCTCTTGCATCTGCTCTCTCCTTTTCATTCCCCTTGCTGTCACCCTAGATTAGATCCTCATTTTTGGCCCCAACTAATGTGATACTCTTTTGATTTGTCTTGTTTCTTGAAGTACCATTCTGTTTTACACACTACTGCCAAATATAATTTCTTTCTGTGCTGTTCTAATAATATATCTGTACTTAAAAACCTTCAGAAACTTCTCATCGTCTACCAAATTAAAATACAGATTTCTACCCTAACATTCAAGGTCCTCAACAAAACAACTACAATGTGCCTTTTCGCCTGTTTGCCTACTTTAACCCTATGTTCTAGCCAAACTGGTCTGTTGATCAGTGTTTTGTGAATATGCCTTGCTACTTCCCTGCATCAAACTTCCATTTTTCATGCTTCTATCTCTGCCCGGAATACCCTCCTCCAGTCTGTGTGCCGTCTCTGCAGCCTGCCTGTTTGTTAGGGCCCATTGCAGACACTATGTCCTCCGTGCACTCTTTCCAGATTCCCATCCTCTGGGTGTCTCAGATGTATGTTCTCTCTCCTGTGGATCCCCACAGCACTTTGTTTATCTTCTTTAATGGTATTTTTCTTATTCGGGTACTTGCCTAATCTACCCTACTAGATTGTAATCTCCTTGAGGGCAGATGTCATGTACTTTAGTTCACTGGAACAATGTCCACAATGCATTTATGTAACAGTAACAGCAACAATAATGTCAGGTGGCATTTATTGAACACTTACTAGTTGTTAGGTACTGCTCTAATCGATTTTCACATACTACATCTACTTATGAGAGATACTGTTATCATCCCCATACTGCAGATGGGGGAATAAGCAAAGAGAGTTTATGTAGTTAGAAAGTGGCAGAACTGGGTTTTAAACCCCCAGGGTCTTATGGCTTCAGAGCCCATATTAACCTTTATGCTATGCTGCCTTTCTGTAGGTTCTGTAAATATTGAATTATACTAGAATAATAAATTTTTTTGTCGGGTTTAAATAGATTCACAGCAGTTAGAAATAGTATAGAATGATGTTGATACTCAAGTTCATGAATGGCAGTCCTTCTATTTATACAGTATTTCATTTGGCTGGATTTAATAGTGAATGTGTATGTCATCTGAATACAGATTAAAGTACTTTCAGTAGTATGTCTTGAGCCTACAAATACTCCCTCATAAAGTAGATAGACTATAACTACTTTAGATTATAAGTTCTCTGGTATATAGGTTAAGGAATTTTGAAAGGTAACTATCCTGATTGAATATTACTCAAAATAGGAAAGAAGCTCTTTCATGAGGATAACTTGGGAGAGCTAAAGTATTCTTAAGTGTTTCAAATACTGCCTTTTGTAAATACTGTATTTGCTCATTAGCTAACCAGACAAATACTTTGTGTCTTGTGGTTTCATGAGGATTATAACTTTTCATAGAAATTTAGTTGGAATTATTTCATAGAGCTTTTTTTTTCCTTCTTAAAGCAAAGCCAGTGGTTGTTAATGCAACCCCAGTGCGGATGTCAGTTCCAATTGTCCCAGCGCAGACTGTCAAACAAGTGAGTATCACATAACTTCCTTTCCTCAATCTCTCCCAAGCAATTTACTCTTAAAAATTGAAAGTTCAGATTTAGGTGCAAGAGATTTATACTGAATTGAGCAGTTTTAAAATTTGTTTTTGTAATCACTGATATACTTCCCATTTTTTTAGGTTGTTCCAAAACCAATCAATCCAACCTCACAAATAGTTACTACTAGCCAGCCACAGCAACGGCTTATCATGCCTGCCACACCACTGCCACAAATCCAGCCAAACCTCACTAACCTTCCACCAGGCACTGTGCTGGCACCAGCTCCAGGAACAGGGAATGTGGGTTATGCAGTGCTTCCGGCTCAGTATGTTACTCAGGTATGTGGAAAAATTAAGTCATTCCATTTCATAAAGGATAATTAGGTCCAAGAAGTCTTTAAAAAAAAAAAACCAAACGAGTTGCCATCGAGTTGATTCTGACTCATGGAGACCCCATGTGTTGCAGAGTAGAATTGCATTCCGTAGGGATTTCAAGGCTGTGACTTTCTGGAAGCAGCTTGCCAGACTTTTCTTCCAAGGAGCCTCTGGTGGGTTCTAACAGCCAACCTTTCAGTTAGTAGTCAAAAATGTAACCATTTGCACCCCCTAGGGATGCTAAGAAGTCTAGAATTACCATATTCTGAGACTACTCAAAAAAAGCATCTGACTCAGTATTAAAATGATTCTTTCTAAGATCTGAAGAAGTTTGCTAAAGCTTCTGTGTATCTTTAGCATTTAGAAATATACAGCACAAGTCAGATATATAAGTCAGACAGTTTGGAGGTCAGGGTAGCTTGGTGAGAGGGCAAGATTATGCAGGCTTAAGAGAAAATAGGTTGAAGTTAAAATCAGCAGAGTCCAGATGAATTTAGAAGAGACTGTGGCTGTAATATAATCTCTCCCTCACACATGAACATGCTGCCACTGATTTGATCTTGGAAAACAGACTGTGTGATGCATTTCCAGGTGAAATAGCTTCACTGCTCTGTCCAGAGACTCTCATCTGGCCATCTTTAGAGTCAGTGCCATGTATTATCCAACAGCCTGGCTTTGACGGGGGAGTGCTGCTTATAGGAAACAGAAGTTTTCTTTGTTATGTAAGGATCAAGCATATTAGACCATGTTCTAAGCAGTTTTATTGATCATCTCAGATTATAAGAGAGGGAAACAAACCCATTTGTGTACTTCAGTGGAATATACTTTTGAGTATGTTATAGGGCTTCTGATAAAAAATTAACTTTTAGTATTTTTATCATTAACATCTTTTAAAAATTAGCATAAGATAGAAACTTAACTATTGCACATGTAACTTCTCATTTTCTATGATCTGTAATGTGATGAATGATCAGTGTAGTACCTATTCTATTTGTAAGTAGGCCCCTTGCGTTCGTCCAGCTAATGAAAGTTATTACAGTACTTTCAGGGCATGCATCTAAAATTTCCTGTAATTCTATAAAATGGTTTCTTACATTTGAATCAAGTAGTACTTTAAAATGTTCACTTTTTTTTTTTTTTCCACCTCTACTATTTATTTGGGTCTTTAAAAGAGCTCTGTGAGGTATAGTGTGTTTATATGAAATTCTCCATTGTGTTTCCCCTGTTTTAGCAGGTGAATTTATACTTCTTACTGATCATTATATCTGAGAGTATTGTCCATTTTGCAAGTATGGTCTAATTGCCTTTCTTTACACGTAGCTACAGCAATCTTCATATGTGTCTATAGCAAGCAACTCTAACTTTACTGGAACATCTAGTATCCAGACCCAGGCAAGGCTTCCATTCAATGGGTGAGTATTTTGAAAACATGTAAATTAAGTTGTTGTATCAGCTTCATTGCAGCATAAAATATGTATTTCAAAATACATCCTATTTGATCTTTTTTCCCCTCAAAGCATAAGAGCATGCCTCTAAAGTACATTCTATTTTGAAACACTTCAGACTTACAGAAAAGTTACAGTAATAGTCAGAGAACTCCCAAATACCCTTTACACACTGTTCACCAATTTTGCCATATTCATTTTATTATTCTCTCTCTTTTTCTTAGAGTCCTGAATATTTTTTTAAATTGTTGTGTTAGGTCTTTGCTTTTTGTTCGTTTGTTGTTGTTTTTTTAAGTCTGTCAGTTGCTTTTTTTGCAATATCAGCTTAGAGTCAGTGCTTAGTTAATTTACATGGAATTAGCCTAGCCCCACTCCCCAAATTCCTCCCCCACATACCCTTCTCTCCTTATTATCTTTTACAGTTGGATTCCAGGAGCTTTGAACAAATTTCAGTTTTGTTTTCTCAAAATGGAGATTATTTGTAGAATGTTCTTTAGTAGCTATTCGTTATTATTATTCTATATCTTGGCTCCCTACCTCTCTTTTCATCTTACAACTTGCCTTTGAACTTAATGTAAATGGAACAACATAACAGACTTTTACTAGAGATAGATATATTTGTTAAAGCTTTATTTTAGGAAGAATTCACAGATTGGAGACTTTCCTGTTTTAAATGGCTACATTTAATTGATTAAAATGTATATCTTTTATGTGTGTGTCTGTATAGCATAATCCCATCAGAGTCTGCCAGCCGACCCAGAAAGCCCTGTAACTGCACAAAATCGCTGTGTTTGAAATTGTAAGTGTTTTTGCTATTGTTTGCTCATTTAATATAACTGGAAATGATTTTAAAGACAAATGGAGTTAACTAAAAAAGTTAACAGATAATTTCATAAGTCTAAGTAATTTAAATAAATATACAAGTAAATGTTTGAATACATATACCAAAAAAAACAAACCTATTGCCATCAAGTCAATTTTGACTCACAGCAACCCTACAGGACAGAGTAGAAATGCCCCATAGAGTTTCCAAGGAGCGCCTGGTGGATTTGAATGGCTGACCTTTTGGTTAGCAGCCATAGCTCTTAACCACTACGCCACCAGGCAGTATAAAAAGACTCTTTCATTCAGAAAGAAATAATTTGAATCTTTGCTGTACATAAGGGGTTAGGGATACAGCAGAATGAGACAGACATAATCTCTGCCTTTAATGGTAAGTTTTATTTTACTTATGATGCTTGTATGTGGTCTCTTAAGTGAGGTGATGCTCTGAATAGTTTTAAAAATTGTCAGATGATTAATTTGCCTATTAATACTGAACTAAGAGATTTGACATGAAACAGTTAAATGAAAAGGGGGTTTAGCATCTAAAGAAGCACAATTGTAGTTCAAGTGAGCGGATTTTACTAATAAAATACAGCCAGTGTTTTTCTTTTTTAATGATTTTGAAGTAACTTAATTTGTGGACACATAAAATCACATAACCTCTTGTGTTGATAGCTGTTACTAGTTGAACAAGTTTGTAGGCTGAAATTCTAGGAGCTAATGACTTAAATTTTGAGCCTTAGTATGTGGTTGACAATAGGTCTAACCAGGTAGCTCTGAGTTTATTTCTAAAATGTTTTACCATAATATAATGCTATTAAATCAGTTTCTAGGTTTGATTGTGCTATCGGTTTTTACTTTATGCTGATTTTTATATTTCAGATATTGTGATTGCTTTGCAAATGGTGAATTTTGCAACAACTGCAATTGTACTAATTGTTATAACAATTTGGAACATGAAAATGAAAGGCAAAAAGCAATAAAGGTGATTATTTTTTATTTGATTTAACTGATAAATTTTTCTAATTTCACCTGTCTTTTGAAGTACTTAATTGTTTTAGTAAGAAAAAAATTAATTCCCTTTGCAGTGCTTAAATTTAATCTACTGTGATTTAATGTCTGTTGGTATTTTATCTTTTTTGATAGGCATGCCTTGACAGAAATCCAGAAGCCTTTAAGCCTAAAATAGGCAAAGGAAAGGAAGGGGAATCAGATCGACGTCACAGCAAAGGATGTAATTGCAAACGATCAGGGTGTCTTAAAAACTACTGTGAATGCTATGAGGTGAGATGCTGGTTGGGTAAAATAATCTGACCATCTTTTGAAAATAGCTTTAGCAAAACCAAACCAAACCTGTTGCTGTTGAGTTGATTCTGATTCACAGCAACCCTATAGGACAGAGTAGAACTGCTCCATACGGTTTCCAGGGAGTGGCTGGTGGATTGGAACTGCCAACCTTTTAGTTAGCAGCCAAGCTCTTCACCACTCATACCTATATAAATCTACTTGAAAACTAATGAAAACTGAGGAGTCGCCTTGCAGTTTGAAAATATGCATGGTTAGCCTGAAGGCCCTAGTTTGGAAAAGGCCTCCTGGCCTCTCATGCAGGGCTTCAGAGGAGCAGTGCCTTGGTCTTATCACTGATTTACCAGCTCATAAATTCTTGGTTATTATACTTGGAAGTATGCTTATTAGAGTGCATGTTCATTGATTTTCATTAATATTAATAATAACCATCAAAATGGATTGAAAACTGCAGCAGTGGTTCTCAACTGAGGGGCAGTACTACCCACCCTCCTCCCCTGGCTTTTTGAAAATATATATGGATATAATAGCTTGCATTCCAGGGAGCAGTCCTGTAAGTTAAGGGTTATCTTGCTTAAAGTCCCCGTGGCTAATAGTTCCCTATTGAGGAACGCTTGCTCAGTGAAAAACCAAATTATGTTAAGAAGGTTGCTTAGTGGGCATAAAAGTAGAAAAGAAGCAATATGGAGTATTGCTGGATGTGACTGTTGGCCACTGTGAGGTGATGTGTCTGTTTTCACTGTGTCACCTTCCCACTTAGCAAACCATTTTTATTTATGGTCAGGGCATCTTCTCTGTAGAATACAGTTGAAATTTCACTTTGACAGATGCCATGGAAATCATCCCTATCTTGATTCAGACCAGGTATTATACAGTTCATTATTTTTATTTTAAAAACATAAATACAGCAATCTAGTCATGTCTGGGATTGACCCTAGGTAACCACAATTGGTTTCTTGGTGCGTCTAAAACTCTTTACTGACTATCTTTTGGGTTGAGTTAATCCTTACAGTTGACTCTTCTCATCCGTTACATTTTCATTTCATTCTTTCCAATTTCATTCTCTGAGGGGGACCGTATTTTTAGTTTTGGCAGAAGGCCTAGCCTTGCGTCTGGTAAAATAACTCCACTAGGGGCTGCACACATCTCCCTGGTAAGGAGCATATATACCTGCAGTCCGGTGTCCTCTCCCATGCAAAACGTGTCATATTAAAGAGTCTGTCTACTGGGTGTTCTGTGTAATGAATTCTTTCTTAGTTCACTGAATTGAAAGGTAAAATATACTTCTCAAGAGGTAAAGAAATACAGTGGAGTAACATCGTGTTAGTTCTAATGTCAGTATGAGTGAAAATTGCATATAATCAAGATTACTTTTGAAAGTCTTGTAAATAATATATCATAATACAACAAGCTAATATTGAAGTTTTCATCCAGTATTGCAATAGATGACTATTTCTCCTATTTGAATGCCAGATTAAATAGCTGGCTTGTGTTCATAGGACATATACAAAAGTTGTTGTGAGTATGTAAAAATTAATCTGTAGACAAACCTTTTTATTTTGTAAGCTGTCAAACCAAGTCTATAAAAAGAAGATGTAAAGCTGGATCAGAAGGACAAAGTGAGCCTTTAATGTACATGGCATTGAACATTCAATACATGCCAGGCATATGAAATTCAAACATACATGAAATAGGCATTTGATTGAACTGGTTAACAAATTTGTAAATTAATAGAAATAGAAAAGGCAGTATACTGGTTGAAAAGTGCTAGAAGAGACAAATCTGCTCTATTATAAGAATATCTTTGATATTCAGAGCTTACACAACGTCTAGTAACCTGAGAAATTTGTCGTGAACCAAGAAATGGAAAAACCTAGACTACACTAAACTTGGAGTACCTGGGTGACACAAACGGCTAAGCACTTGACTACTAGCCAGAAGGTTGGTGGTTCGAACTTACTCAGAGGTGCTTCAAAAGACAGGCCTGGCAGTGTGCTTCTGAAAGGTCACAAACTTGAAAGTCTACGGAGCAGTTCTACTCTGCACACGTGGGGTCCCCATGAGTGAAACCAACTCGATGGCAACTAACAACAACGACATGACTGAAAAACCAGTTGCAGTCAAGTTGATTCCAACTCCTGACAATGCCATGTGTGTCAGAGTAGACTGATTTTTTGGAAATAGATTAGTAGGCCTTTCTTCTGAGGTGCTTCTGGGTGAACCCAAACCTCCAACCTTTCTGTTAGCAAACCCAGATCTCCTGTATGAGAGGTGAGAATTCTACCACTGCAGTACCACTGCCCTCTACTGCGCAGAGACCAACCTATTGCCATCGAGTCAGTTCTGACTCATAGTGACCCTGTGGGACAGACTAGAACT